TGCTCTTCTATCTGGATTATATGCTTTTTAAAGCTTTTCTTTCCAAAATCCATGATAGTCCTTGCAGAAAATGCTATATATTTTATATTGTTAATATATGATACATAATTTTATACATGTATTTATATATATATGGACAAAGAATTACTTGTTTGCCAAATGAATTGTGGAATATAAGTGAAAGGATAAAGTTAGGATGAACCAGATTGTCTCTTGGTACCTGATTCCTCGTCGCAGGCACATTAAATAAGATGTAGCTTTCCATAACAGTAGTAACATTATGAACATAATGAGCAAACATTGTGCTCAAGTGCAATGTTGAGTTGCATGTTCTGAAAGCGGTCTCTCGGTTTTCTCACAACTGTTTCAGTCTACTGTAAGTTGACTCTCTTCAGAAACAGATGTACTCAGAACTCTGGAGTTGTGTTCCAAGCATCAAATAGTCATCTCTGGAAAGCAGGGAAATGTGGGAATGATCTATTATTGTTAAACTCAATGTTTAAGACAGAAGGAACTCAAGGCACCAGGAAGCATCAAAGGCCACTTTCTGGGTACAAGCTTGTGTACTCAACAGTGAGACTGTTTGGGAGCACTGTGTAATGAGGGTTCTGGGGGAAATATTGCTAAAACTGAAGTGCATGACCCCATATGCTTCTGAAATTTGTCTTGAAATTAAAGCCCCTTAATCTTTTTTTTCTTAGATTTTCCCCCTACTTTTCCTAGCAACATATTTAAAGATTCCATAAAGTAGTGGTTGTGCTCAGTGTTTTGGCCGTATTCTACTATCCACACTTTCATTTCCTCTGAAATTTTGTCACATTATTATAAAATCAACTGCAAATATTTACTGCCTGTTCATATTTTAGTCTTTTTTTAATCATTCTAAATACAACAGCTATTAAATTAGCTAAATGTAAGAAATATTAGCTGGGTAATGGTGTTGCATACCTTTAATACCAGCACTCACAAGGCAGAAGCAGGCATATGTCTGAGTTTGAGGCCAGCCTGATCTACAAGAATGAGTTCCAGGATAGCTAGGGCTACACCGAGAAACCCTGTCTCAATGATGATGATGATGAGGAGGAGGAGGAGGAGGAGGAGGAGGAGGAAGGAGAGAGAGAGAAATTCAGCTGATTCCAACATACACTGCAACTGTACATGCCCTAAATAAGGTAATTGCCCTCATATGTCTTATCTGCTAAGTCTAACAATGCCTTTAATTGAACATCAACTTGTTTGCCTCTATATTCTTTGTGCTGTTAGAATTGGTAAATGAAGTTCAGTGCTGTCTGCAAATGCAGTTGCCATACTTGCCTTTGATAGCTAGGACTCTGTTGACCCTCCTAAAACGCAATTAAATCCTGCATCAGAGCAAAGAAAAGCAGTTCTGACCTGTGGGAACTGACCTTGGTGTTTCCGGGAGCTGGTCTGGAGGTCACAGCTAAGCCAGGGTGCTCTTGAGCTGAACATAAACATCACACAACACCATCATCTATGATGTCACTCTAGACAACTTAATAATTTGATCTAAGCTCAGACAATAGCAAGGTCAAGAAACACTAAACACCCCCTCTCCTGGCTGAAGTGGGTAAATGCTGCTTCCTTACAGCCTTAGCTTGGTGCTGAAGGAGTGTTAGTACAGTAACCAGTCCTGCTAGCCTGTTCCATCAGATCCCCCGCACAAAGGTCTTCCTTCTTGAGTCATGAAATTCTACAAATCCCTTTACCAAGGTTCTGATCCTACAATTAGTCCTTCGCCACTCCTCTTCCCTTACAGTGAGCAGTGAGCCTGTGGTTCTGTTGCAGGTGCACACCACTGTGACATCTAGAGCCCAGTTTCTGTGAATAGTGTGACCTTTACCGCAATGGCGATGGGAAAGAAAGACTTCTGTAAACTGTAAGGTTGTATAGAGATGCTAATGCGTTTTTTTTATTGATTTCTAGGCTTTGAGTTTTGTTTTTCAGCAACACAATCCAAACTCACAAGTATTTAGCATTCTTTTAAAAATATATTCAATGGCATTCTTTTCAGATATATTCAGTGGCTATGTGTGGTGGCACAAGCCTTTAGTTCCAGCACTTAGGAGGCAGGAGCAGGCGATCTATGAAACAGTTTCCGGAACAACCAGGGCTGTTACACAAAGAAGCCCTGTCTGGAAATAAAATATATTCCATGAGCATATATACTTATGACACATCAGTATACAGTGAGGTTTACTATGTCTTTGGAAGAAGCATGGCCTCAAAGAGAAACCTCTTCTCGGCTCCTTCCTGATGCCTGGTGGCTCTGGTTCGAGAATAATGGCAAGTAGCACCCCTAGCCTACCTCTAAAAGCAATCATGGACCCATGACCAATGAAAGAAATAACATTTGCTTTTTCGTTTGTTTGTTTTTAATTATCATTATTTATGGTAGAGTTTTAAATTAATGGTAGAGTTTTAAGTTATATGTGCCAACACAATAGGAATAGACCTTTTGCATTTTGTAACATTACTGTTCTGTGTGTGCTGAGGACATCATTGTAATTTATTCTTTCATTATTAGGGTAGCTATTGGAATGGATGTGTTTACAGTCAGTTCCCAATTCACAATACCAAGCAAAGTTCTGGAGGTTAAACCCATAGTGCTGAGATGGGGGATGGGCGCTAGAAATCAGGTCGGTAGATGAGTATCTCCTAGCACCAGGGATACTGCCCTTCAAAACACTCTGGAAAAAGATCCCAGGTCTCTAAATCACTTGGTACCATATGGAAAACATGCTGGCTTGTGATTGTGCTTTATGTAAACATTTTAATATAGGATCCCTAAAATCCAGAGGCTCCCTGAAGGGGATTAAAGCTAATCCCCTTTCTCTATTGCTGCAGTGGATTAACTGTGCGCTCTCTGGCTGCTTTGCTCCCTAGGCTACAACAAAAAGGCCCTGCACTCCTCCAACAATCTATGGAATTGGGAGTTGTAATTGGAGATTTGCAGGGGTTGGGGGACATGCATCTAAGGTTGAATGTTCCGTGATGTGTCTTTCTTAAAGAAATCCTTTTATAAACTCCCAGAAAATCTCAACCCAATAGAATAATTAGAGAACCAAAAGGAAGCGCAGTTCCGTTTTAGAAATGTTCCCAAATAAAAAGCTCCCGAGCTGTTTTCGTAAAATTCGTGCTATTATTTCAGTAAACCAGAGAGTATAGTAGTTTGAATAACTCCACTCATGATCTTTTTAATTTTTTTCCAGTTTTAAACAAATTTATTGTTTGGATATGTTAAATTACTTTTAGGAGAAGGAAGCAGCTCGCCGTCTTTAATGTTTTTGGACCATTGTTTTTTTTTCCAAATGTCAGACTTCTAAAAACCTAAAGCGTGCTCGTCGGTGTTTAGAATGACCTTTTCTAGGTGGATGCTGTTTGTTTGTTTGTTTGTTTGCCTTTTTGCCAGACCCACGTTGTTTAAGATACTGTTTCAAATGTGAATACAACAAAACATTTTGGAGAAGGAACGAGGAAACCCGCGCCGGGTGCCGCGCTGCGGAGGCGCAAGGGTTAAGGGAGCGGTTCGAACCCGCGGGCGGGCGCAGGCGATCCGAGGAGGGCCCCGGGGGCTGGAGGCGCCGGCTAGCGCGGACCCTCCAATAAACACAAAGGAGGGCCTGGGGAATAGAAACCCAAATCCACTTGTAATCGTACAAGAGATTCGGGCATAATTACTTGAGCAACCTAGATTAAGATTGATGAGCCTTTAAAGTGGCGCTCCAGACCGACCGCCTCGCCCCTTGGAAAAGAAAAAAAAAAAAAAAAAAACTCCCGCGAGTAGCTAAGGACCCAACTTCTCTGGCGGCACCGGGAGCCCGGGCCGCCTTGCTAGTCTGCAAGGCAGTAGCACCGCTGAAGGCGACCCCACTTAGTCTGCTGCGGACCAGATTCAGTAAGCCGCACCAAAACCGGCCTAGGCCTCTGGGTCTCTTCTCAGAAATAGCCGGGCTCCGGACCGCTGGCTCCGCGAGCCTTCCCGGCTCAGGCCTGGGCCTGCGGGTGAGCGCGAGACTTTCCTGGTTGCCTGTCTCCTGCTGTGTGCAGCTAAGGGCGGGCATTAATGACTGGGTTCTGTTGCTTGCTCCCTAGAACCTAAGAGAAATCAACAAAGCCCACGTTATTTCTGAATTCTTTGTCGTATGTTTAGACCAATAGCGAGAAGAGAAAGGGGTTTCAAGTAATTTCCCCTCGAATCATTGTTCTAATTGAAGAAATTCGGAGTGAGCACTCCGTCGGGTGCGCAAACTTAACAAAAATCTATTGAATCCTAATTTCTCAGCTTCCAAAAGCTGAGAAATCCCACTTTCCAACTCCTTTTCCGAGAACGGTTTTGTTTCAGCGTTTTTCTCACATTTCCATCTTTGGTGTGCTCTGGTGAGAAAATGAAGGCCAAGGTTTTCGTTCTTTCCTTCATAAGAACCCGGTAGCTTTGCACTCCCAGTAGTGAATGTACCACCTTAGCACGCCAAAATTAAAACAATCCTTCCGGAAAATACTAGCCCTTGGGATTTGTATATTTAGCTGCTTTCCAAACCTTTCGCCTCTATCACCTCTCCTTGGGGTAGAGGCGCTGCCAAAAGGATTGACTTATGAGATGGTTTGTCTTTGGGGGCTTTACTCACTGCCTAGGGTCTCTTGGAGAGCAAGTCATGTTGCTGGAGAAGCAGGGCACAGGAAGCATCCCTTCTGATCAGCATTTGTAAGTCGGATAAAGGCAGTGCCTCAGCAACAATGTAGATGTTATGGGTTTCTTATTCAACACCCTGAACTCTTGAGTTTTTATAGAATTACTCGTCTAGTTTTAAGGTACCATATAGATACTAAACATACCTTACCTAACATAAAAAGGCCTTGCATAAAATTGTTACAGTTTTTCCTAGTGCATCTTTAAAAGATAAAATCTCACCATACTCTCTTGGAAGGGAATGTAGGAGCACCAGAGAGGCCCAGACTGACTCACTGCCCCTGTCTTACAGGCCCTGTGGTTCTCAGTACCCCTGCCCAGCTCATTGCTCCTGTGGTGGTGGCCAAAGGAACTCTCTCCATCACCACAACAGAAATCTACTTTGAGGTAGATGAGGATGATGCTGCCTTCAAGAAGATCGACACAAAAGTGAGTTAGACTGTACAGCGTTGATGGCTTTAATTGCAGGATGTGGTTTTCATTGTTGCTTGGTTTTAAATGACTGAAGAGGTACACATATTCTCATCTTTTTTACAGAAAATAAAATGAATGAAATAACACATGGTTTCTTTCAGAATTAAAGATTGTATTAATGAGCTTAAATCCTAAACTTATGTAACAGAGCATGTGCATTTGAGCATTCTTCCTATGTGCCTTTGTGTGCACTTGGGCAGATTTGGTGTTTAAGCCAGTTTCTCCCAGATCTCTGGGGCACAGTGGCTCAGTTCCTGGGAAGACTAGAATAGGTCTTGTGAAATTTTGTGTTAACATCACATTTAATTTCCAAAAGTATATACTGCAATATGAATTATTATTTATTGAAAGGTTATAAGGAAACTGGGGCAGGAGCCATTTATATATAATTTCATTTCCATTATTACATCCATTTTTCATCTTCTGAATTAAATGGATTTTACATATGGATTTAAAGGAGGAGAAGCAGATTCTGTGTCAGCTTTGACTTGTATGTACACACAGCACACCCTTATACTCACACACCATTCCAGAAGGTGCACATTTGGTGCATTGGCATGGCATACATGGAGGCTAAATCTTACCTTGTGGATTTTAGCCTCCCTGGCCAACAGAGAAACCCTACAGACAAGCACCCTTCTGCGATACATTTCACTAGTTTCTTATTTATTTTACTGTAAGTCTTGTAAATTTCTTCTTAGGGTAAGAGGTTGAGATAATGGGCTATTCTAATGGATATTCTACCGTCTTTTTAAAACGATCTTCCTATAAGTCACTTCAAAAACTTTTCTAAAATAGCCTTGAGCCTATTGTTTATATTTAAGTTATACACAGAATTGGCACGTTATAGACTCTTACTTGTAAATGAACAAAGGAAATTGTAACGTTTACTGACACCTGAGTTAACTAAGGCAGAACCTTGATGCAGGCCTCTCAGCACTTGTTGATCAGTGAGATGCTACCAAAGAATCCTAACGCCATGGGTGTGTACTGCATGAGTGTGCTGTGTTTAAACAGGAACTTGTCTTTATGTTTTGTCATTAGCTTTCCCTATGTAGTAAAAATGAATTGCGGTTTTCTGATTAATTTATTCTAATAACCCCTGTTGTGTTAAAATAGGGTGATAAAGTATACTAGCTAAAAGATACGTTCATTTTATTGTTTGGATTTCATATACAAACTTCAGACTTTTTATGACTTTAAGTTAATTTTCTTAGAATTTGCTGCTTTTAAACTCAGTAATATTGCCATGATAGATTTTCTCTCCTTACATTGTCAAAAATCTACAGAAATACTAACCAGAAGCAGGGTCTCAAAAGTAGATTATAAATGTGTCACTTGTAGAAAAGAACCAGCTAGTAAATTAGAAACTGAGGAAATGGATATTTTCTATAGCTATTCAAAAGAGAGCCCCTTTAGTGTGTATTTTTAGTGATTTTATTAGCCTGTTAGTCAAAATCTTTAAAAGACTTGAGTTGATTTTCAAAAGGAACCATTAGTTCTCTTGACAGAAAACAATTTAAAATGAGACACAACAATTGGGTATTTTACTTCATTTATTTTCTTCTAATTAAATAAAATCAGCAACAGAAATTAAAATCTAAATCACAAAAGTAATTATCCAGTGTATTTCAAGTGCATTTTCAAATATATATATTTCAGATATTCAAGCGTTATTATATAAGCTGAATTCAAATTCCTTTGAATATATTTAAATAACATTTCAAGTATACTTATGGAATGTTAGAACAAGCAATATATTTGAAACAAAATGTAAACTTTTTTTTTAAGTTCAGACACTTCACAGACAGGTAAAGTACCAGAAGGAAATCTACCTTTAAATGCATCTTTGTTCGTGGAAAGTGTCTGGAAATTTCCAAACGGCAATTTCAGTTTTGTTCACCAAATCACAAAACACCAACATCCACACTTTCAAAGACAACATGAGATCACAATATTTGTTACAAATCAAAATATACATTACAGGCTCCTTTCGCTCCTTCCGATGCCACATCCAGGTCCTGTTTACTGGAAGGCAGATGCGCCTAAGTCTCAAGATTGCTATAATCCTTTGATGGAGTTGGTCAAGGTCTTGCGTTGTTGCTTGGGGTTTTTTTCTGAGTCTTTTCGGGTTTTGTGTACTTTTCAGGGGAGATGGGAGTTTCCTGCATAAAGATGCTTGTGGGTGTAGGTTTTCCCGTTTCCCTACTCCATTCCCTCCTCTTTTTAGGGGTGTGTGAGATGATGCATAAATGTTGTGCTGTTACTCCTTTTAAAGGAAGAGATTGTTTGCACTGTCTCAGGAAATATTAAATAGGAATCAACCAGGAAGTTTTCATTTCGTCAGGACGTGGAGCAGAGTGATCTTGTCGGCCCAAGATTCGATCATCCTCTAGAGTTTTTCCAAACTTTTTGGGTTGGTCAGGATCTCTCTTGCCAATCGCCACGTTTGTTTAGCAGCGTTTTCCAGAGCCGAGTGTGGTTTGCCTTGAAACAGATCTAAGTTCGGTAAGAAGTAGTGGGGACACCGGCGGCACTGCAGGCATGAGATGAGCTGCAGCAGAATTCCATTCAGCCGGTCGCCCAAACAAGATTCGTCCCAGTCCGACTCCCGGGGATGCTTCTCGCACTCGTAGGACACCAGAGTCTTCATGTGGTAGTTGTTGAGAGGCTGGCCTGGCAGCTCCAGGTGGCGGTCGCGTAGGGTTTTCAGGATCGAGAGACATTTCTTCCTGCAGCCCCCCATTTGCAGTCTGTTCTCAGCCTCTGCAAACTGCAGCACCCAAGCGTCGCTCTCTGCCGAGCTCTGCTTGCCGGCCAGGGAGTGGCACTCCTTGGACAACAGATTGAACCCTTCGGCTTTGACCTCTGCCACCCGGTTGGGTCCTGGCCAGGGGATGTGGGGAAGCGGCCAGTGGGCAGCACTCCGCGGCCAGATCCCGGTGCATTTAAAGGCCGGAGTGATCTGCACCACGTACCTGTCGCGAATTCGCAGTTTCACTTCGCTCGTGTCAGCCACCATCTTTACTACATCCCTGTAGCTACACTTGTCCACCGCCTGAGCCACCAGCGTCTGAAACCTGGAGCGGATTTTGCGTGCGGAGAGGTAGCCAGAGGCGGTGATGAATTCCACCCAGAGGGACATGCTCCTCTTCCGCCCGTCGCTCAGTTTCAGCACCGCGCAGCCAGGCAGTGAGCCGTCGTCCACGAAGTTAAACACCCCCATCTGGTTCAGATAGAGTACCACCTCGAACTCGGTGGGAGAGATGACCTCCAGGCCCTCATAGCGGTTGTCCATCTCGTTGAGGGAACTGATGAAGCGCGGTTCCTGCACCTCCACCTCCTTCAGGACGTCGGAGACCACTTTGCAGACTTCCCGGATGGTTTTGGCGATGGCAGCTTTCCTGGCCTGGCATTTCTCGTTGTAGTACTTATTCAGGTGGTAGACCAGCTTGGCCTGGGCCGCGATCATGTTGGGGCAGAGATCCGGATTGTACACCGGAGTCTCACAATAAGCTGTGGGATCCAATGCGGCTGCTAGCGCTGGAGCCAACTTCGGTGGTGAAAGGGGGCCACGCGCAAAAGGCACCTAGCCTCTCGGACAGGCTGCAGTGGGGGCCGCCCTGCCCAGCCGGCTTTTTATCTGCGAGCCTAGCCGGTCTTAAAGTGAAAGGCTGCACTCTCCCCCTCTCTCCTCCGCTAAAGAATCCTCTGAGAGAGACGCGTGGAGAGAACACCTTCTCAGTAATAAAAACAAAAGTTGCGCTGAATCCCCGCAAAGATCTTCCAGTAGTCAAAATAGTCACCCCTTTACGTATTTATTTACGTTTTTCCGTAATCATGGTGTGTGCAGGACTGTTAATCAGACGGAGGAAAAGTGTGCCGAGTGTGTGTCGGGGTGAGTGTGTGTCTGTCAGAAGGAGCTGCTGTTGGTTTGTGTAAAAGCCCAGATGCACTCGTGTGGAAATTATAAAGGCAGGGCCAGGCAGGCGGGCGGCCAATCGCCACTGGGCTCGTCACGACAGCCTCCCCCAGCTTCAGCCTGGCTAATTAATCCCCCCTCGTGGATAGAGGCACAGAAACCAAAGGTAGGAAGCTGCTGCCGGCAGAAAACCACCTAGACAGGTTGGAAAGCAAGAGGAAATCTGGCTTTGGTATAACTTGAAGCATATTGACACTTGGAAAAGACTTGGCGAAGAGAAGTGTCTCTCAGTGCTGTAAAGCCTGCTTGTCTGTTCATCTCTGGTGAGCTACCAGGTGTACCAGTGGTCATTCACCAATTAGTGAAGTCAAAGGAGCCTTTTAGAACAAAGTCACTAACTTAAATTTAGAGTAAGGTCATTAGTGCGTGTTAATCCTTGGGCTCTTTTTAATGCAAGCTAGAAGTTTGCTTCTTAACCGACTGCTAGTTTCAGATCTCAGAGTTCTCCAGCTTTTCTCCATGTTGGGTGTTCCCAGTCTGAACACTTTTCAAAACCTTAGGAAAAACCTGTTCTCTTTTTACCTAGGTTTTCCCTATTTTCATTCACTGAGAGGAACGTAAAAATTGCCGCTGAGTACCGTAGATATATCTACCCAGTTAATCATAAAACAAGCTCACCTACCTGTCTGCAGTTCCCCTTGTCCGTAGCTAGGCTGGCCAGTGCTAACATAACAAACCACAGTGAAGGCTGTATGGTGCTCTTTCGGGAATACTTTCCACAAGATCTTTGGGATTTAGATGAGCTGTGTTGGGCAGAATCTAGAGGATTCACTGAAGTGGACTTAACTTGAGAACTTGAAGGTGTGGCCCTTCGACCTTGTTAGCTCATGCAGACATAAAGACAGATCTCCCATCTCAGGTATCTTTAGTGGAGACCAACAATGGGTTCCTAATCTTATGGGATTTCATAATTTGATTGTGAGAAAATGGCCAACGGCTTCAAAAATTAATTTGTAACCTTTCAGGTTTGAGT